TTCTCCCCACCCACCCCCTCCCACTCCCCTGCTCTCTGCCTCCCACCCAACTGTGCTGCAGTCTCTCTCTCTCTCTCTCTGGCCTCAGATCATCACGTGTGTGGGTGCTGTCCTGTGTTCAGTGACTGTAAAACCTGAAACTTCTATCCTTTTTAAAAATCCCACTTGGATCACAAACCAGGCTTCAGCATGAATTCTTTCTTGAGTGAAGCCAAGGACTGGGGTATTTCTCACCTGAGATATATTACAATTTCAAGGGGTAGCTCATGAAGACTATGTAAAATATTGTAATGAAATGTGTAAAGATGTAGTGTTAGAAAACCAATGGACAGGAAGACATCCATATTGTACCCATTCTAAAAATAAGGTGACCTAACAGAATGCTCAAATTATAGAACAATATCATTAATATCACATGCTAATAAAAACCTGCTGAAAAACATCCAAGTATGGTTGCAGATGTACAGTGACAGGAGGTTCAGGCCAGACTCAGAAGACGATATGGAACACGGGATATCATTGCAGATGTCAAATGGATCTTGGCTGAAAGCAGAGAACACTACAAAGATGCTTACTTGTGTTTTATTGTCTATGTCAAGGCACTCAACTGTGTAGATCACAACAAACTATGGATAGCCTTGAGAAGAATGAGAACCATAGAACTGTATTGTGTTCATTCAGAACTTGTACATGGATCAAGAGTCAGTTGCGTAAACCAGCATGGTTTCAAACCAGGAAAGGTGTGAGTCAGGGTTGTGTCCTCTCTATATACTTATTCTATCTGTATGCTGAGAAAATAATCAGAGAAGCTGGATTGTATGAGCAAGGATGTGGCATCAGATTAGAGGAAGGTTTATTAATGACCTTCACATACAGATGACACAACCTTGTTTGCTTAAAGTAAGGAGGACTTGAAGCACTTGCTGATGAAGATCAAGGGCTTTAACTTTCAGTGTGGATTACAATTTTATGTAAAGAAGGCCAAAATTCTCACGAAGGGACCAATAGGTAACATCATGATAAATGGAGAAAAAATTGATAGTTTTAGGGATTTTTTTCTTGCTTGGATCCATAATTGATTCTCATGGCAGCAACTGTCAAGAGGTCAAATAACACCATGCACTGGGTAAATCTGCTACACACAGTCTCCTTAGCGTGCTAAAAAGCAAAGAGGTTACTTTGAGCATGAAGATGCCCCTGACCCAAACCTTGATATTTTCCATTGTCTTTTATGATGAATTTTAATTACAGAGCTAGAGAAGAATATTGAAAGTACCATGGACTGCTAAAACAACAAACACATCTGTCTTGTAAGAAGTATGACCAGAGTGTTCCTAAGAGGCAAGGATGGTGAGACTTCATTTCAAGTGCTTTGGCCATGTGGTCAAGAGAGATTATTTCCTAGAGGAGGACATCATGCTTGGTAAAGTAGAGGGGCAGCAACAAAAAAAAGAGGAAGACCCTCAACAAGATGGATTGACACAGTGTTTGCAACAATGAGCTCAAGCATAGAAACAATTGTAAGGATGGCATGGGGCTGGGCAGTATTTCATTCTATCGCTGGGAATCGATCGCTGACTTGATGGCACCTAAAAGCAACATTTATAGGAAATGGCATTTTTGCTTTTAAAATATTAATATTAAATCAAGGAATGAGATTCCATAAATTCTCACAGTGATGGCAACTGTAGAGTCAAACATAATTGTTAGGATAGCATAGGACTTATCATTCAAAGGGTAGTCCTAAATGGAACTGATTTAGTGGCATCCAGCAACAAACAATAATGTAATATGACATATTTATAATCTCCTGACTTAGAATGTGGGCATTGCATGGGTTGGGGTGTTTGCACATTCTTCTGTTTGCCATGCTGTTGTTTGTTGGCTGCCATGGAATCAGAACCTCACTGACTCATGGCAAGTTTATGAACAACTATGCTTGTTCTTCACTGAAGATCAGACAATTGATATTCATAAGATCTTCATTGGTTGATCATCAGAAGTATACCTCCCCAGACATTTTTTTCCTCATCTATTTTAATCTGGAAGCACTGCTGAAAATGGCTGCTCATTGAAATTGACAGAAATCATAAACAACATTCAGAAGTAAAGTTTATTGAAGAAGTTAACAAGTTTGCAACACAAGTGAGAAATGCTGATGATACAGGTGTTCATCAGGGCATGTTAAAAAGCTCATTTACCATTGCTAACAAATGCCTAAAGGGCATGCCACTCTATTGTAAGTCTCATCCTGAAGGTATTCAACTCAAACTCACACAAATAATGCTCACAGGTGTCCCATTCCAGAAGCCAGCCTCCTGACTCAAAACAATTTGCTTTACTTGCTCCATGGTCTCCATTTCATGCTCTTGTTCCTGATTTTCTTACTGCTTCTCTGTTGTCACAGCTATCTTCTGGATCAAGAAGATACATTGCACATGGATCTTGAGTCCAGAGGACATGCTCCACTCCTGGCTCTTCCTGGTACTGATACTGATATGCCCTTCTTCCATTTCTCAGAAGACTCATACCCAGCAGACGCCAATCTAATGAGTGCTATTAAAGATTAGTCACAGGTGAGTCCTATCCTTGTCTTCCCCCACCTACTTACCAAGGCCCATGCAGGAAAAAAAAAATTGGTGGAAGTTACAGAGACTTTGGCTAGAAGAGCCACATTAAATAATTAATTGCCCGTGAAGCTATTAAACAGTATAGCATTATGTAATCTTCCGATGACATATGCGACTGTGCATGGGATGCATCTACTGGTAATTGAGCCTCGATTTCCTCTATAAAAACTAAACCCACTGCTGTTGATTCTTATTCATAGTGACCTTACATGACAGAGTAGAACTGCTCCATATTGTTTCCAGAACTATAAATATTTATGGGACTATTCAGACTTATTTTTCTCCTTTAGAGCAGGCTGGTGAGTTTGAACCAGTGAAATTCTAGTTAAAAGCCAAATGATGCCTCCAAAGCTTCTTGAATATCTGGCATAGAAGGTGAGGATTCTACTATTGAATCACCACACCCATCTTCAGTTTACCATTGTTCACCCATCTAGCCACGACAGACATGGTGATCCTTCTCTCTTGAACTCAGTATATTGGATCACTCAGTATATTGGTGAACTCTGGACACTGATAAAGCACTCTTTAGCTAGAAAGAGTCAACAAGTACTGCATACTTTAACTGAAATATTATGTAGAACCTTTCCGTGCTCAATTATTTTTCAGCTACAAGCATGCTCTTTAGTAAGCAGAGACAAAAAGAAGAGATTGTAGCAAATACATAGAAATAGAAATAAGAGGCAGACCAAGGAGAAAAATTCCTAGAGAGTAGCTGTCTGATGACTTTTGAAGGACTGTGTATAGCCCAGAGTTTCCTGTTTCCTGTCCTTGGAAGCCCTTCAAAGACCTACTGTATCCTTTACAGCTACCTTGAATTGGCCTTGATTTTTGCAACTACATGCTCCATAAAAGTGTTTTAAAACATATCTGAAGTGTTAACCACTACTGACTAACCACTAGGGGATTATCAAACAGTATGACTAGCACATTTTGCTTCCTTCTTCCCACTCCCACCACAGCCTCCTTCTTTTCTTAAGGTTACTATGTCATCCAAACTAAAGACAAAGAGACAGACCAAATTCCTTTCTGAGGTCTCAGACAGTCAGAATCTATTTGCTGGCAGTAAATAGGTAAATACCACTCAGGATGAAATACATAGGAATCAAATTGATCACATCTGTGGGAAGAGATAAGGGAAAGCTCACTATTATCAGTCAAAACAAGGCTGGGGTTGACTATGAAACAGACCATTAATTGCTCATATGTTGTTTATGTTGAAGATGAAAAAAATTAAAACAAGTCCACAAGAGCCAAAATACAACCTTAGTATGTAGCCCTTGATCAAACAAGACAGGCTGAAACATGGGTATCAAGTAACAGGTTTTATTGTGAAGTGCAGTGTGCTGGGCTACTCAGAGGATGGGGAATAGCTTCAACACAAAGGAGGCACTCATAGATATATTCTCAGGGATGGAGACTCATAACTTGGGTTGGGAAACTACCATGTATCCTGATTGGCAAGTTTGAATGAAGAGGGTCACGTGGTCTTTGAAGTGGACAAGAGGCTGTTGGCACATATGGAGAGGTGCAGGGTGAGTGGGGTGGGTGAGAGGAGAGAGACTATGAGCAAGAAACATAGGAGGGAGATGCTTGGAATGGCTAGGCACTGTTTTACCCTCAGCTGGATTCATTATTCCTGCCGTTTGATAATAGGGAATAGGGTCCAAGGTCTGTCTTCTGTATGCTTCCTGCTGGACAGAGACAAACAAAAAGCTTATAGCTGTCCTGTCTCTGTAGGGTCTGGTGAGCACCTTAAGCGTTAGAACACAGCCACAGGCACACATCCATTCCTGCAAAAAGTTTTTAAAACAGTGTAATGAAAAAAGTCTGAAGCACAGAATTATACATATTAAACTGAGAGGTCCTAAAAGTGACAGGACCATGGAGTCCCCAATCAATGATTGTGACAATGTCATTTCTTAATACTTTTTTATGTGGCCCCTGACATTTGAGCCACTTGAGTCTACTGGCTTCGAAATGCCTGTAACTCAATGTGTTGCAGGTTTCCACATCTCCTCTCTCCTCCATGGTAGTGGAGTTCTCATATTCTGTAAATGCATCTCCCACTATCATGTAAAAACAGTGATCAGTGCTGTTAAACATCAGCCAGTTATTCCAAGCTTGTGGTTTAATGGTTAAACAGCTAGGGCTGACCCTCATGTACAAACATAACGTCTAAAAGCGTAAAGTTAAATGAAATCTCTTGCCTTCTTCCTTGGGTTCCCTGGCTAGCCCATTTCCCCAAGGCCCTGGGATCCACACAGTATCAGTTACAAACATAACAGGGCCCTTTGAGTCTACTCTACAATTTGCAGCAGAGGAAGATGGGCAAGATAAGCCCAATAAGCATAGTTAGCCGGGGGACGGCGAGAGCGGGGTCGCGGGTCGTGGGTGTGGGCTATGGGCAAGGACTACTACCAGACGCTGGGCTTGGCCCGCGGTGCATCAGACGAGGAGATCAAACGGGCCTACCGCCGCCAGGCGCTGCGCTACCACCCGGACAAGAGCAAGGAGCCCGGCGCCGAGGAGAAGTTCAAGGAGATCGCCGAGGCCTACGACGTGTTCAGCGACTCGCGCAAGCGCGAGATCTTTGACCGCTACGGGGAGGAAGGCCTAAAGGGTGGCGGTCCCAGTGGCGGGAGCAGTGGCGGTGCTAATGGGACCTCATTCAGCTACACGTTCCATGGAGACCCTCATGCTATGTTTGCTGAGTTCTTCTGTGGCCGAAATCCCTTTGATACTTTTTTTGGGCAGCGGAACTGGGAAGACATGGACATTGACGACCCGTTTTCTGGCTTCCCCATGGGCATGAGTGGCTTCACCAACATGAACTTTGGCTGCTCCCGTCCCACCCAGGAACCCACCCGAAAGAAACAAGATCCCTCTGTCACCCATGACCTCAGAGTCTCACTGGAAGAAATCTACAGTGGCTGTACCAAAAAAATGAAGATCTCTCACAAGCGGCTGAACCCCGACGGAAAGAGCATCCGCAACGAAGACAAGATCTTGACGATCGAAGTGAAGAGGGGGTGGAAAGAAGGGACCAAAATCACCTTCCCCAAGGAAGGAGACCAGACTTCCAGCAACATTCCAGCTGACATCGTCTTTGTTTTAAAGGACAAGCCCCACAATATCTTTAAGAGAGATGGCTCTGACGTCGTGTACCCAGCCAGGGTCAGCCTCCGGGAGGCTCTGTGTGGCTGCACGGTGAATGTCCCCACTCTGGACTGCAGGACCATACCCGTCGTGTTCAAAGATGTCATCAGGCCTGGCATGCGGCGGAAAGTTCCTGGAGAAGGCCTCCCCCTACATACCCCAGTGATGAAAGATAAAACTGCAATCATTGCTAGAAACGTACTTTTAGGGCTCATTGCTCTGTGCATCATCAGTTTCACCTGTCCCCAGTGGTGGGTGGTGGTGGTGGTGGGTACCTGGCACCTTTTTCTTCACAGTGTTTTTTTGTTTGTTTTGTTTTCCTTATTGATAGGGCTGCCATCTCTTTGGTGGGGATTGAATTGGGGTCAAAAGAGCTAAATAGATTCTTCCTTTTCTCCCTTATCTTTCAGTGTGAGTGGATCTGTGTAGGAGAAGAAAAGAAAAAAAATCTCAGGACCTTGCTTTGAGGTGTAAAGAACGTATCCTTTGAACCTAAAACTGTGTAATGAGTAGTATTTGGTAGAAGAGTATAGAACAGAGTTTAAGGGTTGGGAACTATTGGATGGATAGGCAAGAGAGTGGAGTTGATGGCTTTAAGATCTTGAACAAGTCAGTAGCTGCCTTTGGGTTTAATAACCAGCAGATTGAGTGTGTTGCAGAAAGAGCGGGTGAGCCTTAATAGGCCTGTCTTGAGGAATTATGAAATTATGGGTTTAAGGTTTGTAAGGTGTTGGAGAGCTATACAATATTGAGGAACATTAGGAAATTTTGTGGGGTCTTTTAATCTGATATAAACTGGTTGGTGGTGCAAAGCAATGGAGGGTTAGGTAACATCCCAACCTCGTGGGTTAACTAGAGCAGATGGTAAAGGAAGGGAATTGGTGGTGGGGTGGGTGTCAGGACACTAGAGTTATTTTGGGAGAGATGGAGGCAGGAGGAGTGCCTGGTGCAGCTTGTAAGAGAAGCAACAGGTTTGGAATCCGGGAGGCCTTTGGTAAATGAAGAGTTGCTACTCTTTTGAATTTACTAAGAATATCTTTGTCCAGTAGGGGAACAGGGACTTTTTGGATTACTAGAAACTGGTGTGAGGATTGTACATTATAAAGACTACATGAGTGACCATGTAATGAGAGTTTGTGAGACTATATCTGAGACTCTGACAATATTGGTGGATGCTAGAAATGTCTGTCCTGAATGTTCAGGTAGTGTTGAATAAGTGACCTCCATGTCCAAAAAGAAAGAAATAGGCTTACCTGACAGGCTGATCATCACTCTGGGCTTGTGATGGGTGAACTCTGTGAGGGCGTCAGTCCTGGGCACTGTCAATCCTTTATGGCCAAGCATAGAAGCCCTAACAATGAGGTGTTTTCAGCTGGTTGCTCAGGAGGTGTTATGGAAGAGACTATCCTTCCCACCCCCAGTCAGAAAGAACAATCAACTCCTAAGTGCCCTCCTTGCCCACATTGCAAACAATGTGGGGAGTTAAGTCTGGGGCATTTACGTGCCCAATGTCCCATCTGGGAACATTTAAAGCAGGGTCCAGGTGACTAACCTGTTTGTGGACCAATGCTTATTGGTCTGGATCCACTCATATTCCCTGAAGGGTGTTAGCCAGCATCACATATTTAGCTTTGTTTCTTCTAGTCTATCTAATTTTTCTTGTTTCTTCCTATTATTGAAAACCTTAAATACGATATTGAGAAGATCTTGCTGTGGTCTTTGAGGGCCACCCTCCAGCTTTTAAAGCTTTCTTTTAATGTAGGGAGCTGACTGAAATATAAAGTATGAATGAAGTGTAGTGGTCCTGCTGGTGTTAAGGGATCAACCCTGGTGAACTTATGGAAAGCCTCCGAGAGGCAGGATAAAAACTGGACAGGATTTCCCTTTGGATCTTTAAGGACTTCTCTGAACTTGTCATAATTGACTGCTTTATTAGCTGTCTTTTGTAAGCCTAAATGAGGTGCATAGCCATGCCATTTTGGGCAATGCAGTCCCCATGACTGAGTTGATAATTTCAGTTAAGATCTTGTCTGGAAACTGCATTAGAGCCCATCGATTTATTCTGGTTCTAGGCAATAATTTAATTACCTCTCTGGTGGGCTGCTACCAAGACTCTCTCCTGTCTTCAGGACATGAAGTGGTTGTAAGAATAATATAAATGTCATACCTGGTATGGGAATAGGCTGAGTGAGATATTTGTACTCTTTAATATAGGTCTCCAGGTCAGAGGCTATGGGTCCCAGATGTTTTCCAAGATCCTAAAGATCGAAAAGAGAAAAAAGGGACATGTACTTTAAAGAGTGCCTCAGCCCTTGCCACCTCACAGAGAGCGAGAAGGAAGAGGCAGGGTCTGAGCAGGGAAGGGCTCAGGGCAAATGGGTGTCTGATGGAGACAATGTGGTAGAGGGGAGTGGGTAGAGAGCATAGAAGTTGGCCATGGGAGGAGGCAAAATGATGACAAAGAAGGAAGGGGGAGGGGACGATGGGGGAGAAGATGGTAGATAAGAGAGTGGTGGATTGGAGGAGGTGGAAGGAGGCAGTGGGGGGGTGGAGTTAAGGATGAGACTGGAGGAGGATTTTAAGAAGGAGGAGAAGGGGCAGTAGGCGGTGGGCAGAGGGGCATGGTTGGAAGAGTTGAAGGGAAATGCATTGTCTGGGAGAGGCAACTTCTCCTGAGCCAGTGAGAGTTTGGTGGAGGGGCAGTTTTGACACAGATGGGAGTGAGAGTGGAGGTAGTAAAAGACCTGTACATAGGAAACTTCTAGGAATTTGTCGTTATGTCGACAAAAATTTTCAAGGCCCTGGAAGACATTAAAATTGAGAGTGTCATCTTCTGGGCACTTTTAGTTATTGCCCAATTTGTATTGAGGTCAAATCTGGTTGCAAAGGAGAATTAGACATTTTGGCCTAACAACTGGGTTTAGACCCAGAGGTTTAAGATTTGCTAGTAGGCACACCAGAGGCGAATTTTGGGGTGACTTAGATTGGTTATTTCCCATGGTGGGGTAGAGGGGTGGGCAAAATATAAGGAGTATAATGGGTGCAGGGAGAGTCCTCAGCAAGTCTGTTTGACACCAGAGTAGATATAGGGAAACAGGTCAGGAAGGTGTCCCCCTGCTGAGAGCAACCCAAGCCACAGGGGCTTGGAGTTCACTGAGCACTTAGAATCGGCCAGAGTGTGGATTCACAGTCCATAATGGCAAGCAGAGAAGGTCCCTAGAAGACACCCACCCAGGTTCAGGAGAGTCTTTGTGGACCTTGCACTGTACCCTCCCCGGTTTCAGTACCAAATGGTAGAAAAAGACAGGCACAGTCTGCTGGGTTACTCTGAGGATGGGAGGAGTAACTCCAACACAAAAGAAGCACACACAGATATATCCTTGGGGGTGGAGACTGATAACGAGGTTTGGGAGAGCACCATGTATCCTCCTAATTGGAAAGTTTGAATGAAGGGGTGGCCTCTAATGTGCACAGGAGGCTTTTGGTGTGCATGAGAAGGTACTGGGGGTTGACAGAATCTGTGAGCAAGAAACATGGGAGGGAGATTCTTGGAATGAGCAGGCTCTGCTTTACACTCAGCTGGAGCCATTACCCCTAAATTTAGGGACCATCTCAAGAACAGATTTGACACATTGGACACTAATGATTGGAGACCTGATGATTTGTGGGCTAACATCAAAAACATCCATCATACAGGAAGAAAGAATAAAGTCGATGAAGAGATCAGATGTTAGAAGAAACCCTAAAACTCGTTTTTGAGTGCAGAGTAAGTGAAGCCCAGGGAAGAAATAATTAAGTAAAAGAACAGAATAGAACATTTTTTATGGCCAGCTCCAGAATACAAAGCAGAGTCATAATGAAATGTTCGAAAACCTGGTGTTGTAAAGCCCAAAACAAAGAACATGTTCAGTTATTTCATATTTCCAGATAAAATAAATGAAGTAAAAAATTCAAGTCTCAAGTTTTGACCTTAAAGGAGCAAATATTGAACAGCACAGAATGCATCAAAAGAAGATGAGGAGAAGAAGCCATCCATGTCTGGAGATGGCAGGTATGGAGGAGTGCTACTGTGGGAATGGAGGCTACACCTGTTGTGCAGCAGCAGACTAGGCAAGATGGGGGCTAGGCAGAGACACCACCCAGATCTGCTCATCAAAATTTTGGAGAGAGATGGTGACACAGAACCAGGTGTTCACCTTGGGAGCCTGAGCTTTGGAGCTAACAGTTTTGCATACATAGGGGGAGAAGAAGCTGAATGACAATGGTGACTGAAGAGATAGTTGAGTTGTGGCAGTGCTATCATATTGAATTTTTACGAGCCACTTTTAATCTAGGCACACCAAGATGGACACATTGGTGGCTGATGACAAGAAAAGAAGAGAAATACATATACCTCTTGCAGCCTCATCAACTGGGTCACCTGATTATAAATCGACAATGGCCAGCAGCTGCCAACCCCCCCCCTCAAGAGTGCTTCCTGAACAGGGAACTGTATACATGCTCACATTCTCTAACACACCCTCTGGAGAAGGTGGTGAGTGCCTAAGAATATGCCAACATAGCAATTGTCAATTAAATTCAAGCACAGCAATGCCACCAGAACAAGAAACCACTTCAGATCAGGTGGACCCAGACAATGTGTTTCAAACAAATTACAGAGCCAGAAACCTTTAGTGATGCACTACTCGATGATGAAAAATTACTTGATAACACTGGTGCAGATGGGAGCTGGAAATACAGGGAATTCAGGGCGGATGATCCCTCCGGGACCAGTGGTGTGAGTGGCGCTACTGGGAGGGTAGAGGGAGAGTGGGTAGGAAAGAGGGAACCAATTACAGGGAACTATATGTGACCTCCTCCCTGGGGGATGGACAACCGAGCAGTTGGTGGAGGGAGACATCGAACAGGGCAAGATATGACAAAATAACAATTTATAAATTATCAAGGGCACATGGGGGAGAGGGGTGGGGAGAAAGAGGGGGAAAATGAGGACCTGGTGCCAGGGGCTTGAGTGGAGAGGAAATGTTTTGAGAATGATGAGGGCAATGAATGTACAAATGCGCTTTACACAATTGGTGTGTGTATGGATTGTGGTGAGAGTTGTATGATCCCCTAATAAAATGATTTAAAAAAAAAAGAAGAAGAAAGTCCATTACTTAGACATACTCCAGAATTTAAGGAGTTGCTTGGCAAATTGCAAGAAAAAATAGATTAGACCCCAAAACCAGTGAGTATTAATCCAGAAATGCAATACTCTGGTTTTAGAATAAG